ACTTGATATACAGGTCATACAATGTGTAGAAATATCTTGTCGTGTTACTAATTGTATGATAGTTATAATACCTTATTGTATCAGCCCCTATTATATACATTCAGGTCAGTCAATAAATAGCAGTGAATATCAAGATAAGATATAATATTTGTTTTAATGATAATGTCACAGTAACCTCAATATAATATATACTATAATTCATTATAAACTTTTGATATTACAAATATACTGAATAAATATATTCTCCTAATTTAACATTGTATACTTCATATTTTAATAGTACAACTGTCGATCACAGTCTAGAATTATATATAGAAATACCAAACATCACCTGGTTTATAATTTAGGAATATATTATAGTATAACACATTTCTTTAATAAATCTTTAATAAATATGATTATAGTTTAACAGGGAGTATATATAACATGAAACACAAGGGAATATATTATAATATAACACATTTCTTTAATAAATCTATAATAAATATGATTATAGTTTAACAGGGAGTACATATAACATGAAACACAAGGGAATATATTATAGTATAACACATTTCTTTAATAAATCTTTAATAAATATGATTATAGTTTAACAGGGAGTATATATAACATGAAACACAAGGGAATATATTATAGTATAACACATTTCTTTAATAAATCTATAATAAATATGATTATAGTTTAACAGGGAGTACATATAACATGAAACACAAGGGAATATATTATAGTATAACACATTTCTTTAATAAATCTTTAATAAATATGATTATAGTTTAACAGGGAGTATATATAACATGAAACACAAAGGAATATATTATAGTATAACACATTTCTTTAATAAATCTTTAATAAATATGATTATAGTTTAACAGGGAGTATATATAACATGAAACACAAGGGAATATATTATAGTATAACACATTTCTTTAATAAATCTTTAATAAATATGATTATAGTTTAACAGGGAGTATATATAACATGAAACACAAGGGAATATATTATAGTATAACACATTTCTTTAATAAATCTTTAATAAATATGATTATAGTTTAACAGGGAGTATATATAACATGAAACACAAGGGAATATATTATAGTATAACACATTTCTTTAATAAATCTTTAATAAATATTATTATAGTTTAACAGGGAGTATATATAACATGAAACACAAGGGAATATATTATAGTATAACACATTTCTTTAATAAATCTATAATAAATATGATTATAGTTTAACAGGGAGTATATATAACATGAAACACAAGGGAATATATTATAGTATAACTCATTTCTTTAATAAATCTTTAATAAATATGATTATAGTTTAACAGGGAGTATATATAACATGAAACACAAGGGAATATATTATAGTATAACACATTTCTTTAATAAATCTTTAATAAATATGATTATAGTTTAACAGGGAGTATATATAACATGAAACACAAGGGAATATATTATAGTATAACTCATTTCTTTAATAAATCTTTAATAAATATGATTATAGTTTAACAGGGGGTATATATAACATGAAACACAAGGGAATATATTATAGTATAACTCATTTCTTTAATAAATCTTTAATAAATATGATTATAGTTTAACAGGGAGTATATATAACATGAAACACAAGGGAATATATTATAGTGTAACACATTTCTTTAATAAATCTTTAATAAATATGATTATAGTTTAACAGGGAGTATATATAACATGAAACACAAGGGAATATATTATAGTATAACACATTTCTTTAATAAATCTATAATAAATATGATTATAGTTTAACAGGGAGTATATATAACATGAAACACAAGGGAATATATTATAGTATAACTCATTTCTTTAATAAATCTTTAATAAATATGATTATAGTTTAACAGGGAGTATATATAACATGAAACACAAGGGAATATATTATAGTATAACACATTTCTTTAATATATCTTTAATAAATATGATTATAGTTTAGCAGGGAGTATATATAACATGAAACACAAGGGAATATATTATAGTATAACACATTTCTTTAATAAATCTTTAATAAATATGATTATAGTTTAACAGGGAGTATATATAACATGAAACACAAGAGAATATATTATAGTATAACACATTTCTTTAATAAATCTTTAATAAATATGATTATAGTTTAACAGGGAGTATATATAACATGAAACACAAGGGAATATATTATAGTATAACACATTTCTTTGATAAATCTTTAATGAATATGATTATAGTTTAACAGGGGGTGTATATATAACATGAAACACAAGGGAATATATTATAGTATAACACATTTCTTTAATAAATCTTTAATAAATATGATTATAGTTTAACAGGGAGTATATATAACATGAAACACAAGAGAATATATTATAGTATAACTCATTTCTTTAATAAATCTTTAATAAATATGATTATAGTTTAACAGGGAGTATATATAACATGAAACACAAGGGAATATATTATAGTATAACACATTTCTTTAATATTATAACTTTTGTGATCAGTTCCCTCCCTTCAATTGTTAACATGATATTAAAAAATATTACCTCCCTTGAACTATAAAATTTGATCATAAGTTATTATTCTTTTGATATTGAGCAGGAGTGGTGATTTACACAGGGTATTCTTACTCTAGACACCTGATACCACTTTCCATTATGAAATACTTCCTCATTTATGATTGATATACTTCCTCATGTAAAATAAGTTCATTAGCTACAAACAATATATTTCTAATATGTTGTTTTGGATTTTGGCTTTCGTGTAGGGGTTGGGATCGATAGTACGTGTGTTCTTTTTTTATTCTCATCCACAGTCTAGAGCCCTTGTATTTTAACTTGTAAGACATGACTGGTAAATACGGTCAAATATATAGCCTGTAGTTCTAGTCAGACATACCTGGTAAATAAAGTCAAATCAACAGTCTAGAACTCTATTCAGACATGACTGGTAAATACTGTCAAATCAACAGTCTAGAGCTCTAGTCAGATATGACTGGTAAATACAGTCAAATCAACAGTCTAGAGCTCTAGTCAGACATGACTGGTAAATACTGCCAAATCAACAGTCTAGAGCTCTATTCAGACATGACTGGTAAATACAGTCAAATCAACAGATTAGAACTCTAGTCAGACATGACTGGTAAATACAGTCAAATCAACAGATTAGAACTCTAGTCAGACATGACTGGTAAATACAGTCAAATCAACAGTCTAGTGTAGCCATTTTTATTATGATAGGATCACATATATAGACAATTAGACTTGTCTAGTAATTTAGTACAATTTTTATGTAATCTAATAGTAACATTATGTCTTGTTATAATTCCATGTTCTATTATTACACTACACTTACCAAATCACAGCACATTAAGAAACAACAGTTTTTATGGATATATACTTCTATTTATTATTGAATACAACGTTTCATTACACATACAGGTAACGTTATCAACACAACGTTTCATTACACATACAGGTAACGTTATCAAGTGATTATTAACCATACACATGAGAACATTATATATACCAGCTAAAAAACTTAACAACTCAAAAGATACAACATAAACTACTTATTATAACAAATAACAGTTGGCTTACATTAACTCAAAATTATAAATGTAAAGCATTCACTAATTAATCTAATCAGGCTTCTCTAAACATAAATGGGGCAGATTAAACAATCAGATACATAAGGATAACATAAACATTAAAGAAAATAATACATTTAGATATCCCAGCAGTTACTAAAAAATTGACCATTATCCCTATTTCTAGAATGGAGATGAGACATTATCGGATATTAACCACCTCAAAGCGATACAGACTAAATTGTGCCATGCTAAAAATAACTTAACGTTCCTTCTAAGATGCCGCGACAATAAGTTGATACCCAAAGGGTTTATACTCAAGTCCCCAGTTCATACTAAACATACACTAGATATCCTCCAAATCGCTAGTAGCAAACCGTCTCCTATATCATCACCTACATACAAAAAAATTAATATTGAAATCAAAAACGGGAGCGGTTACATCAGCATAAACTTCAACTTAGTTAAATATAAATATTTCAAAACATGTAGACTTACAAATAATTACAATAAAATACAAATTTATAGAAATATAATATATTTCAATCTCTAATCTCTTGGTCAATCCTCTTTCATCATATTATAATACAAAGAGAGATAAAAGATTGAATTGTGGAATAAACTTTATTTCAATGATATTTCTCTGATCTGTGTGATATTCCCTTGAATCACAAACTGATTGTTAGAATTCAAATAACCATTGTTTTTATCAGTGAGTTTAGACCAGGTGATAGACTTCGCCCAACATAAATACCAACCCGCATGACCTCTCTCTAATCTCTTGTCACTATATGTATTAGTTATAGTTTTATTGTCAATATTCAATATACTGATTTGATAATCAATAATACAATAGTTTAATCTAGGATTGTCATCTGGTAATAGTCCAATATAAATATATAAATAACCATTATACCTCATTACACAACAATTCCATACCAAGTTACTGTAACTAAACTTGTCTTGACTGTAAAACACTTCATCATCCTTCTTTATATCATTTATATTATAATAAAATTGATATGAATTGGACTCGTGTAGTTTGGGTATGTGATATTGTTTTAACACCATGGACTCGTGTAGTTTGGTATTGTCATATTGTTTTAACACCATGGATCCTAACATGTCTGTAATTAAACTAAAATCATTTTCTTTCCAATCAAGATACTGAACCACTGATGGTGTTTCAACTTTCACATCTTTACACAATTCTTCTAGCTCTTTTATTTTCTCAAATGAAACTAAAATTTGTAAATCAAAATCTTCTGTTAAAGAAGGAAAATTCGTCTCCAGATTCAGTTTGAAATTTTTTATATCTACCATAATTTTCTCTTCAGTTTTGGTCAATTTCGATTCTGATTCTTGAGACTTATTTTTGACGTCTGTCATGATTCTCTCACTGCTAGCCTTTATATCTGCTATAATTTTATCAGTTTGTTTGGTTATTCTGCTACAAGCATCTTCAGTAAAACGCTGGAGTGTCTCTCTCGATTCTACTAACATCACATGAGTTTCTTCCAAGTCTTTGATTTTATTTTGGATGAATTTCTCTGAGGTTAAAACTAGCTCTGTAGCTTTTTCTTTCACAGTTTCACATTCTACATCTAAATACTCGTGAACGTTGTGTTCTTTCAGAAAACATTTATGACATAGCACACAGTGACAAGTTAGACAATAGTAGTCTATTGGTCTCTCTCTATGACATGGACAGTGGTATTATACCTTTGTAGTCACTGACAACGCGTCAACCTTCACCTCTGAAGAATTCAAGAGCTGGTGAAAGGAATCTGACAGGCGCACCATACCACCCAGCAACTAATGGAGCAGCTGAACGCTTGGTGCAGACTTTCAAGCAAGCTCTCAAGAAGTCTTCTCTGCCACCAAACCAAGCACTTCAAGAGTTTTTGATGCAGTACCGGAGAACACCAACGTCCTGTAGATATTCTCCGAGTGAACTATTGAACTCCAGACAAATACGGACAAGGATCGACTCTCTTCTTCCCTCTCCAGCGCACATTGCTCAGGGTAAGCAGTCCATGGAGGTATCAAAGTCTCAGATGACTAACTCGGGAGGTGTCGCCAAGGAGATCCCGTGTATGCGCTGTACCATGGACCTCGTCGAGACAGACAACCCCGATGGTACCCGCAATCATTAAGAAGGCATTGGGTACTCGCTGCTTCAACGTCAAGGTTATACCTCATGGTCCAGTGTGATACGACATTGGG